CAGACCTAGGTATACCGGTACACTGTACAGACTCTGTATTTGGTAGCTTCACCCATGGCTGCTACGGGACTTGAGAATTAATTGATTGATTGACCCACATTCAGCAACTGTGTGCGTATTGAGTGTACGTGCTCAGCCTTGCTGTCTAAGACGTACGTCCTAGCTGCCGATGGGAAAGCTACGTCGGCGTACAGAGGCTCCTAATTTTGCTCTGCATATGGCAGGCTTCTCTGGAGATGCGATGCTGGGAGCCACATTGCTTCAAGCCTCGAGAATCAGTGATGATTTCCAGCTTCGCATAGCAAGGGCAAAGAACGTTCATGAACCTCTCCCTTTCATTGGAATCTCAGTGTGTATCAACCCTTAACCCACTACTCTTTTCGTAAGATCTATCGCCACAATCTCATCGCCAGCGCCGCCGTCTAAGCGACCCGTGTTTCCCCCAGGCTTTGCTAGCGGGCCGCGGAGGAAAACTCTGTTAGCAGCCTGCTCGAGCAGCATGGCGGAACCCAGGACGGATGCTATTCCTCTGGGCTCGGGAAAAGCGCTCAACAGCCTCGACATCTCTCGGGCGCTCCTGTGCTCAAGGGCAGTGTATGCTGAGACGGTCCTGGACGCGGAGCGCCTCTATTGCGAAGCGCAGAGATCAAATACAGGCCTTACGTTCGAGAAAGTACACATGTCCCTGGAATCAGGCCTCCAGAAGTTCCTCGTGGCATATGCTGCCGACGCCATCTTTCTTGCTTTCAGAGGGAGTGCGTCACTTAAAGATGTTGCCAGCAACCTGCAGGCAGAGGCTATGCGCAACCGGGGAGGCTCTTTCCATGCTGGATTCTTCAAGCGGACAGACATCTTTGCAGGATCTGGCCACAACCCCCTGAAAGAGCTTGTACGCAACCAAGGAAAGCGACTCATCTTCTGTGGGCACAGCCTGGGAGGTGCAGTCTCCCATCTGACTCTTCTGCGCTTCCTCTGGGATCCAGCGTGTGTGCCTCCGGAGATGTTAGTTTACGATCAGTTTGAGGTGAGTGAGAGTTAAACGTCTGCTTCTGCACAATCAACAAAAGTGGGGAATAATTTCCCACCCTGCTCCATATGATTTGCAGCACTCTAGAGTCTAGGCAGCATTGGTGAATTCTCTCAAGCCCTTTTGCAGCACCTGCAGAGTCCAAGGTGGATGCAAACTGGGTGCATGATTGTCAGATAAAAGGTCTCTGTCAGGTTCTGGATGGAGCAGTGTTGACAGCATCCGCAACGTGCGACTTAGCTATCTTCTCTAGCTGCAAAATGCCAAGCTTTCTTGTGAAAGAGACACTGAGACGATTTCTAACTTGCATTTACGTGTGCAACCTGCAGAAGGACCTGGCAGACTCTTTCATTTCCATTGCCTTTGGTGCGCCGCACATTTGCGACAGCGTGCTCGCTGACGAGGTCAAGGACAGTGGGCTGGGGTGGCGGTTCATCAACATCGTCAACCAGGATGATCCGGTGCCGCTTTTGCTCCACGACCTGCCAGGCCTGGTCAAGTCAGCTTTTGACGCTGCGAAGCCCGTTCTCAAGGATGCAACGAACAGCCTCCTGGCCCTGGGAGGCTTTATCGGTCACTCCGTCAGCGGCTATGCCACAGGGGGCGTTGCTGGCGCCGTCCGTGGCGCAATCAAAGCGCTGACCTCTCCGACTGCCGACAGGCTGAACCTTGCTTACACGCTGACGGAGCAGTGGGCGAACAGTGTGCAGAACATCGAGCTCTCCGACGTGCCCAAGGGGCAGCGATTCGCTCCCATCGGCCAGTACGTCCTGATGCACAAGGACCTTGGGGTTTGGACGAGCATATGCTTGCCAGCTGGCTCCAAACCCCTCCACTTGCACTTGGGTCAGGGACCCCTGCTCCAGGACGGTCCCCTGCATCACCACACCTTGGACGGCTACTCGATAGCACTGGCGGCCTGCCGTCTCATCCAAGCCGGATTGCCCGCCATGGACACCCAGGTTTCCTCGACCGAGGAAAAGTTCGTCGTTTCGTGTCCTGGGCCCCAGGTCAGCTATCTTTCCAATATACTCTTTCGATATTTTGGAATTTTCTCCAGGGTCCTTCCAAATGGGAGGCTGAGGAACTGATGACCGTAGCAAACTAAAAGTACGAGTCCAGGACACGGGTTGTGCTCATGTGTGGGGACTTCCGTCATTTCGTGTCCTACCCTTGGAGGACTTGTAGTTGGAAGGGTTTCAAGTCCAATTTAAAACAGAAGCGGCAGAACGGATTCGATTATACGGAACAAAAAGGCTGATTATGGAACCATTGGTTCAGCGCGCTGGTGGACTTGCCTTAGACAACTCCGCATTTCCCAAGGTCATCAAATGCGTCTGGTTCGGATCTGGGCTTGAATGGTAGCACCCTGGTCCGTTTCCCAACTGGATTCTTGACCCCGTTTAGTTTAAAGTTCCGTTTTGAGAAACACTCTCCCGCAAACGGCCTCAAACTACAGCAAGAGTTTGCTACCAACCCATCCGGAAACTCGTGAGCCGACCAGCATCCTCTTTCTCCACAGGTACAATTTGCGAAGCTGAAGGTGACGGACACCAATCAGCGTTACCTTCACATCAAGGGCAGCAACCTCCTCTTCCTGACATCCCGGGTCAGTCTGAACGGAACCGAAGACTGGCAGACAAAAGTGCAGACTGACAACGAGCTGAAAGTGTTCGAAGCCGTGAGCCCCCTCCAAGCAGGGCAGCGAAGGACCAGCGCGATGGAGACAATCAGGATCGCAATCGTGAAGACTGCATTTGGTCAAACGGAGGCAGCCGTGGTGGAGGTGAGTCTTCAACTCAAGATACAGCAAAGTCGTTGAAAGCGGCAATAATGCCGTCTTAGTGGGTGCAATCAGGTGAATGCGCCATTTCACCTGATTGCTCAACTGATTGCTCACCTGTTTGCGCCATTTCATTTTTGCAAACGTCTTTGACCATAAACCCAGTCTACGCGAGACCCAAATGCTCGTTCCCATCAAGGCAGATTGGAGAAAGGGCCTCACTCTGACTGACTGCATTTTGTGGTCACAGTGCTTATCTTTTCACTGCTTCGATCTCTAGCACATGCAGAATGATATTTGCTTCTCACTTTATTCGTCACTGTTCACCCGTGGTCAATTTCTTGGTCGAGGGACCTTCTATATTTCGCACACCCGTCACGTTGTGCTTGAGTTCTGTCTCTTCTTTTGACGCTCTTTTCTTCATACCTAACTGTCAGTATGCACTCTGGTACAAGGAAAAAGTATTGGAGAAACAAGTTAAAAGCTTATTTTCATACCCTTCACAGGACTTCCAGATTGGAGAGACACAAATAGAAAGAGCTGGGGTTCTTGGAAGCTTCCCCAAGTGCATCCAGACCATGCTCGTCAAGGCGCAGCCTCCCCTCTCACTTAAGCCATCCCCTTCCGACTTGGAGATGCTCGACAACATTATGAGTTGTAAGTCAGGGACACAATTTGTACCAACCTTCTGACAACGCTTTCACGACGCCACGCAAAAAATTGTTGTTGGGCAGTTCTCCTTACAGAGAAAGACTCAGTCGGCAAGGACCCGATGCAAGTTAATATACTTTCTGGAGCTCACCTGCGATAAAATCCAATTGAATGCAATAAGGCGAGGAATATTGCTACACTGTTCTCAATCAACGAGCCTGCAAATCTTACATGCAGTGGACGACCCGGAAGGCCTGTTACAACCTGCCCCTATTGTAACGATTACGACTGGTTAAGCCTAACCTCGTTCTCGACAGGATTTCGTTGACCTGCGGGTTAGCGAAACGGCGGTGGTTACGTCTTAACGACGCACTGCGTGGCNGTCTGCAAGACGCCGTAA